GAGCAGACCTTCTGCAGTGTTCTTCCATTCCTATGTTCTTATGTGGGATAGCGATGAAGAAGTTTCTTCGCAAGTGGTTCCGCTACATTACAGAAGCCACTATTCTGGTTGAAGTTGCCAGATATAGAAATAAGTGATGATTCCAGGATTCTTCGGTATTGAGTGTTGTCTTCTGTGGCGATAAGTCTTGAGTTCCTGTAGTTTATCAAGTGGTTGTGTGAATTACGGTGTTGTACACAGGCATTCCTTGTATCGTCAGACCTGCTTGCGTAATGGTGTTCTGAAATACGTGTTTGGAGGTCCCTTGATGTTTCGCCCACGTATAATTTGTTGCAGTCATTACAAGGGATTATGTATACCCCTGCAGAGGGTGGAAGCGTGTCCTGTCTATCACTGGTAATGTCCTTGATGGTCATGGTTGTGGAGGTAGATACCTCATTCCAAGTATCTACCTCCACAACCATGACCATCAAGGACATTACCAGTGATAGACAGGATAAGCTTCCACCCTCTGCAAGGGGTATACATAATCCCTTGTAATGACTGCAACAAATTATACATGGGCAAAACATCAAGGGACCTCCAAACATGTATTTCAGAACACCAATACGCAAGCAGGTCTGACGATACAAGGAATGCCTGTGTACAACACCGTAATTCACTCAACCACTTGATAAACTACAGAAACTCAAGACTTATCGCCACAGAAGACAACACTCAATACCGAAGAATCCTGGAATCATCACTTATTTCTATACCCGACAGCATCAACCAGAATAGTGGTTTCTATAACATAGCGGAACCACTTGCGAAGAAACTTCTTCATCGCTATCCCACATAAGAGCATAGGAATGGAAGAACACTGCAGAAGGTCTGCTCATAAACTTATCCAATCTCCCTTCCAAGCTAAACAAAATTTTAGATTCTGTAACCCCACTCGGTACATCATCAGATGCAGTATTCTCCACCTGACCTCAGCATTCTGAACCTGACTATAAATACTCGCATACCTTCCACCCCAGGTAGATCTGTTTGTGACTTGAAAAAGCCCACTGTGAGGGCAAAACGTTGTCAATAGAGGATCACATTATACTGCATATGTGTTTATATTTCCACTACTCCCTCTACAACATTTTTACCCACTTCAGTATTGAGATTCCCAACAAAAAAGTATTCTCTCACTTGGTTCAAAACTCCCCAAGCACTCACAAAACATTTCCCAAACTCTCTCTCTCTCTCCTCTACACCTCTCTCTTCTCCAGGTGGATAATATGATTTTGCAATATCTTGTCAATTATAGTGTTATATGATTTTGCAATATCTTATCAACTAGTTATACAGGTTGGCCATCACTAATCCGGCATCCTCAGGACCTGTAGGGTGCTGGATTAGCGATTTTGCCGGATTACAGAGTGGTTAGGTTAGAATCACATCAGCGATTTCACCCACTTTACACCCTATTTTTGGCCCATTCCACTGTTCCAGTCTACCAAACTCATAGCTATTTCGCTAGTACTATCCCTTCTATGCTGTCAATTGAGTACAAGAAACTGCCCATTCACCTATTTCAACTACCCAATAAAGTAGTCACTAAAATAACATTTTATCTGTCAACCTATTTGTGACTGCATATTAGACTGGCCAACTGGACACATACTGGACTGTATCGTCATTTGTTTACTTTTAAACATCAGCAATAATGAAACATTTCTGCTAATTTCAGCTCAATTTTAAGGCATTTTCCGACGTGAAACCAATCAAAATTACATACATGTATATCTATTTCTGTAATATATTTTCCATTCTATCAAATGAGACCAAAAAACGAGAATACAACCATACAAAAATACACCACGAAGTCAAGTTTACACCATAAACATGGTCGCTATGCACTGCGTGCTGCAGGATTGTTTTTATATAGTGCACACTTACCACAAAGACCTATTCTCTCATATGTAGGCCCAAATTTACCGATCACAGCTTATCTGAATAAGCCGAGTTCATGGTGACCAACAGTGGCTTCAAAGCCACCTTATCTTTTACGGACAATGTATGGTGAGTGTGTGCCTTACACAATGAGAGGCATTTATCTTATTCGCTGCAACCATGGCAAGAGCTAAAAGTGAGCAGATTATAACAATAAATGGAGAAAAAGAAAATAGAATGATTTATGCAGCAAGTAGCACCACCAAACAGTAGCGCAAGTTGATGTAGCAACCCCGGAAATTTGAAGTTACACTAGCTGAAATTAGTGCTGGATTACTGATGGAACTGGATTACCGATTGCCGGATTAGTGATGGCCAACTTTTAATATGATTTTGAAATATCTTGTCAGCTATTGTGTTATATGATTTTACAATACAGTGGACCCCCGGTATTCGATATTAATCCGTTCCTGAAAGCTCATCGAATACCGAAAATATCGAAAAGCAAATCAATTTTCCTCATAAGAAATAATGGAAATCAAACTAATCCATGCAAGACACCCAAAAGTATGAAAAAAATAAATTTTTACATGAAATATTACGTTCAATGCAACAAAATAATTACAATAACAAAAAAATAATTGACACTTACCTTTAACTCTTCCACATCCTCCCCACTAACCTCCAACCCCAAAGACTTCCCCAATGCCACAGTGGATTCCTCAACTGGCATAGGATTCTCAGGGTTAGCCTCAAATCATTCAAAATCCCTTTGGTCTACACATTCTGGCCACAGTTTTTTCCAAGCAGAGTTCAAGGTCCTCTTAGTCACTTCCTCCCAAGCAGTACCTATAAGGTTTATACAATCGAGGATATTAAAGTGATCCTTCCAAAACTCTTTTAGAGTCAGTTGAGTTTCTGTGGTCACTACAAAGCACTTTTGAAACATAGCTTTTGTGTACAATTTCTCGAAGTTGGAAATGACCTGCTGGTCCATGGGCTGCAGGAGAGGAGTGGTATTAGGAGGCAAAAACTTGACCTTAATGAAGCTCATGTCCCCAGAAAGTCGCTCTGCCAAGTCTTTAGGATGACCAGGGGCATCGTCTAATACCAGGAGGCACTTAAGGTCTAATTTCTTTTCAAATACGAAATTTTTCAGTGGGGGCAAATGCATGGTGTAACCAGTCATAGAAGAAGTCCCTAGTGACCCATGCCTTACTGTTTGCCCTCCACAGCACACACAAATTAGCCTTGAGGACATTGTTTTTCCTGAACACTCTGGGAGTTTCAGAGTGATACACTAATAAAGGCTTCACTTTGCAATCACCACTAACATTGGCACACATTAACAGAGTAAGCCTGTCTTTCATAGGCTTATGTCCTGGGAGTGCCTTTTCCTCCTGAGTAATGTAGGTCCTGCTTGGTATTTTCGTCACAATTAAACACTTGTTCAGGTTTCAAGTCTTCACTGTCTATGTAATCCTTGAATTCCTTCACATATTTTTCAGCTGCTCTTTGGTCTGAACTGGCAGCCTCACCATGCCTAATCACACTATGTATGCCACTACGAATCTAAAATCTTTCAAACCAACCTTTGCTGGCCTTAAATTCACTCACATCACCACTAGTTGCAGGCAATTTCTTTGCCAAATTGTCATGCAACTGCCTAGCCTTTTCACAAATGATCGCTTGAGAGATGCTATCTCCTGCAATCTGTTTTTCATTTATCCACACCAATAACAGTCATAAGAACATAAGAACGAAGGAACACTGAAGCAGGCCTACTGGCCCATGCGAGGCAGGTCAAAGTCTCCTACCGTAATCACAGTTGCACCTTTTGCAAGAACAGCTTCCTTGATTGCTGTTTTCCTGGTCACTATAGTAGAGATGGTTGATTGGGGTTTATTATACAACATGACCAGCTCCGACACACGCACTCCACTTTCGTACTTTGCAATTAGCTCTTTCTTTATTTCAATAGTCATTAGCGCCTTTTTTCTCGAAGGGTTGGTACTAGAAGCTTTCTTGGGGCCCATGGTGAAACAAGCACCAAAAACAGTGATAAAATGGATAATATGGAATGTACTGAATGTATCCTTAGATGCGCGCACACTGGCTGGCTTGTAAAACACTGGCACACACGGGGCATTTCAGGCCACACGTGGACAGGGTCTCGTACGAATCGTATCGATACCGGGTTTTCGATCAGATACGAGGCAAATTTTTGCGATATAATGATCGAATACCGGATCTGTCAAAAATACCGACGCCATCGATACCGGGGGTCCACTTTTATCTTGTCAACTACAATGTTATACGTAATATGATTTTGTAATATTGCATGATAGGAAGAGCAAAACTTTGTCCAAGTGTTTGGTTTAAAACAGCACCTTCGAGTTGCTTTTTAGGATAGTTTTTATAGTTTTTTTTGGTAATCATTTGATAGAATGGAAGACAAACTCCCGAAATAGAAATGATTTTGTTAGTTTCTGTAAAGGAAGTACATACATGTAGCTTGAAATTGGGCTCAGAGTTGCAAAAACATTCAATTTTTTCAAAATTTTCTTCAGGACAGGTAAGGCCCTTCTACAACCCAGTTTGTTTTATTGGGATGCCTTATACCATGACCAATTGTTCTTGGGTTTTAGCATTTTATTATCCCAAAAAATAGAAAAAGGAAGGCAAAATAACTAAGAATTTTGTCAAATGGAACACTGGAATTTATTTAAAATAAGACTTAAAGTGGGTGAAATTGCCAATCCGTAAATTGTGCTGAGACTACTAAATTTGCGCTGCGTAATTCCTTAAGTTTTCATCAAAATTTCACACTTTTGGTGACATTATATTTAGAAAAAAAATATTCTACTATTTTACAGGATTTATTTTTTTTTTAATAACTGGACAGTGGGAGCAATGTCACAGTTGGGGACCCCCTTGTAAATTTCAGAACTTTGTATAGGGTCAACAGTGCATTGCTGTCTGAATCTGGTCAGCTTATGTAAGACAGATGGGAAGTATAAAGGCTAAGATGACTCACTCTACTTCACAGCAATTCAAAACTTAAGCAGACTTACGATAGTGTCATGCTGGTGGTCAAAAGGGATGAACCTTGGGACAGCAAGAGCAGCACGAGACTCATCCTTCTGACCGCACGGCTACAGGTCGAGATATCGCATTCTCCAAAATTTCCAAACTTGATCCTTCAAATGGTATTCTATCTTCGTGCTCTCTGAAAAAAAAATCATTAATTAGTTACAGAATTAACTGCTCCTATGAAAGCAAGGTGTTTTCAACTGTCAAGACACAACACAGGCACTTTAATTATAAAATATACTGTAATCCTAAAGCACCCAAATCTCAAAGTTTTTAAAAGTACCAAGTGTTGTACATACAGAGCCTTCAAACACTGCAGAATATTCTAGATCCCCAATGCATACACTGTATGAACAAAATCTAAATACAGTACTCTAAAGTAATTATGAATCAGATATTATTAACCCTTAACTTATGACAGGTTAACTCTGCACTTGATGATCCATCTTATTCCTGCTAGAGGTAATCGTAAACAGTGGAACCTCGGCTTATGAGTTTAATCCATTCCGTGACCTAGCTCGTATCCCGATCTGCTCATATGCCGAGTCAATTTTCATCATTTAAATTAACCGAAAAGCCATTAATCCGTTCCAGCGGAATTCCTGCTCTGAAGGCAGGACAAAATACACTTCAATTTAATGCTAATATCAACTCTATGGTTTATTTACCTAATATGACATAAAAAACAATATAAATAACACCATTTACCTTAGAGAAGAGATGCTGGGGAAGGTCCACGGTGGAAAAGATAGGCAGAGCGGCGTATGCTGTCAGGAGTTCATTTTGTTTCATCCTTTTTCTATTGCTTAATCACTTAACTTACTTGCTACACTCTTAATGCTACAGTTTATCACTAAGCTTAACTGCTACAATTTATTTTTTATTTTTTTCACTTCACTTTTCACTGATTTTTGGCTTTTCCTCCACACTTTTCACTGGTGATGGTGAGCGTTGTTGTGGTATTCACTGTACCATCTAATGGCGGCGTTTGTTGTTTTGTTGTGTTCTGAAGCTCACTTGTTATTATAGTACAGTGGTACCTTGACTTACGAGTGCCCCAACTTACGAGTTTTCCAAGTTACAAGCCATTGCTCAGTCAATTTTTTGCTTTGAGTTGTGAGCCAAAATCCAAGTTATGAGCGAGCTTCAGATATGCCACCACTTACAGGAGAAAGGAAATATCAAAAACCTCGATAATAACCAGTATGTAACACTTACCTAGGATAACCCCAAAAATCCAGACAAAGTGCTATACTCTGCTTGAAGATACGAGTAAAGGCGATGACACAGTCTTGTGGCTCTCTCTGAGACAGAGAGCTAGACGGATAGACAGACATGTTTGTGCACCAGCACAAACAAAGTGAGGGCAATGCTCATCAGTGCTCAGAACACAACAGTTTAGAAGCATATATGTATAAAGATACACAACATATCCCTCCAAACTGCCAATATCACGAACCCCTCCTTTAGAGTGCAGGCACTGTACTTCCCATTTCCAGGACTCAAGTCCGGCTATATAAAAATAACAGGTTTCCCTGAATCCCTTCACTAAATATTACCCTGCTCACGCTCCAACAGCTCGTCAGGTCCCAAATACCATCTGTCTCCATTCACTCCTATCGAACACGCTCATGCACGCCTGCTGGAAGTCCATGCCCCTCGCCCACAAAACCTCCCTTACCCCTTCCTTCCAACCTTTCCGAGGATAACCCCTACCCCGCCTTCCTTCCCCTACAGATTTATACACTCTCCATGTCATTCTACTTTGATCCATTATTATTATTATTATTATTATTATTATTATTATTATTATTATTATTTGAAAGAAGAAAAGAAAGAAGATTATTATTACGGCATTGCAGTGGACCCTCGGTAACGATGTCATTAGATAGCGATAAAATCGGATACCAATGTGTTTTTGCGTAAAAATATTGGCTCAGCCAAAGATGAAAAACTCAGATAAGGACATTTGTCCCGAACGTGTCCGTGCGGCCTGAGTCCATGTACAAGGTAGTGTGCCATTGTTTACAAGCCAGGGAGGACGATTCCACATGTACATGTGATATATTTTGTATTATTCCATTGTTTTTAATGCTTGTAACTGCTATATAAGCCACCATGGGTCCAAAGAAAGTTTTTAAGAAACACAATAAAATTCAAGAAAAAACTAGTAGCAAAGTACCAAAGTGGAGGAGGAAGAGAGAGGGATGAATGTGCCTTCTGCAGTGATTCAGTGATTCTGCAATATGTATGATACTAAAGCTATAGTGGCAGCTAGCAATAAAGTGTAGAATTAACAGTGTAGCAAGTAAGTTAAGCGAGTAAGTGATAGAAAAACAGCACGAAAGTAACTGTCCAATGTTGTTGTATGTGTATCAAGCCGTTAAACATGCACCGACTTGCTACGTATCTTCCACCACTATAAACCTCTGCCAGCATCTCCTCCATCAAACTAATTAAACTAACATCTCCTGCAAGTAAGTGTAAATATAAAAGTGTAAATATAAATGTAAATATAAAAGAACCCCAATGGAAATACATAAGTCACTCTAACTTTTTTGGGTTATCCTAGGTACTGTACACATATGCTGCTAAGTATGATAATCTATGCACGTAACTGTATGTGTATACCTGAATAAACTTACTTGCTTATTTATAAATTAAAAAGTAAATATTTCTTATTTATAAATTAAAATGTAAATACTTCTTATTTATAAATTACGTTCATATATTGTTTGTGGTTAGTGGTGGTGGCAGAAGCCTGTACAGCTTCTCTCAGTGGCCATTATAAACCCAACAACAACACTTCCATCACTTATCCTCACATACATTATAACATATTTTATTCATTCTAGAGTATATATCATGTTTCTATGTTATTAATATTGTTTATTATGTCATATTAGATGAACTGTGATAGATAACGAATAAACTTACCCTAAATACTGACAAAACCTATTTCATTCAGTTTGTAACCAGAGTTGCAAATGTTCCACTTAACATAAAACACTAAATGGATCACCCATCACAAGACTCACAAAGGAAAAATTTCTAGGAATCCACCTAGACAGTAGCCTCAAATTCCAGACACATACAACAAATTTCCCAGAAAATCTCTAAGACAGTAAGTATACAATCAAAGATACAGTACTATGTTCCACAATCAGCTCTCCTTGCACTGTATCACTCACTCATCTACCTTTATCTCACACATGGAATTTGTGCATGGGGGTCAACAACAACAAATCACCTAAGGCCTCTAATAACCCAGCAAAAGGCTGCAATCAGAATGATAACAAATTCCCATTCATGACAGCATACTCCACCTCTATTCAAAAGTCTACATTTGCTCACCATAAAGAACATCCACACTTATTCATGTGCCTACTACATACATAGAACAATACACGCAAATATAAACCCTCACTCAAACTTCTCCTTACCAACCTTAAGAGAACACACGACCATAACACAAGACACAGATCTCTTATTGATGTACCCCGTGTCCATATCACACTGTGTAAAAACTCTATGCACATAAAGGGCCCCAAAATCTGGAATTCATTACCAGAACATACTAAAGTAACCAGGCCTGAAAATCAATTTAAAGTAACCAGGCCTGAAAATCAATTTAAGACTTCTAAAAAACCATTTACTCGCCCAATATTTACACTCAATATTTAACATTACCAATAATTCTCCCAATTACTTAAATCTTAAAACTTCAAGACAACATACAGTAAATTGATCATCTTGTTTGTTATACATTGTAATGCAACAAATTTGTACAACTATAATGCTTCAATATCAAAATGTTCAAATTTTATTGTTTCAAATACTCAATTGTACTTAATACTGTAAATTGTTTTCTGTAATTTCTACCACTGAATCTTTCATTGCTTGTTAATTTTAAGTTAATTTTAAGCCTGCCCATAATGCTCTGCATACAAGGGGCTTTTGGCATGTACACCCAACTACTATAATTCCTTATACAACTATGTATCATGCCCAAATAAACTATATGAATATGAATATGATAATAGCATGTGAAGGCTTACTCAGCCCTGTAACAACTTCAGACAGTATTACCAAGGCTGGGTCCTCCTCAGGAAAATTAATGTATAGAAAAAGAATAAAAACTGACAAACATAAACACTTCATTATTTAGAATTTTTTTTTTTTTCAACAAGTCGGACGTCTCCCACCGAGGCAGGGTGACCCAAAAAAGAAAGAAAATCCCCAAAAAGAAAATACTTTCATCATCATTCAACACTTTCACCACACTCATACATTATCACTGCTTTTGCAGAGGTGCTCAGAATACAACAGCTTAGAAGCATATACGTATAAAGATACACAACATATCCCTCCAAACTGCCAATATCCCAAACCCCTCCTTTAAAGTGCAGGCATTGTACTTCCCATTTCCAGGACTCAAGTCCGACTATATGAAAATAACCGGTTTCCCTGAATCCCTTCACTAAATATTACCCTGCTCACACTCCAACAGATCGTCAGGTCCCAAGTATCATTCGTCTCCATTCACTCCTATCTAACACGCTCATGCACGCTTGCTGGAAGTCCAAGCCCCTCGCCCACAAAACCTCCTTTACCCCTCTTTCCAACCCTTTCGAGGACAACCCCTACCCTCTTTCCTTCCCCTATAGATTTATATGCTTTCCATGTCATTCTACTTTGATCCATTCTCTCTAAATGACCAAACCACCTCAACAACCCCTCTTCTGCCCTCTGACTAATGCTTTTATTAATTCCACACCTTCTCCTAATTTCCACACTCCGAATTTTCTGCATAATATTTACACCACACGTTGCCCTTAGACAGGACATCTCCACTGCCTCCAACCGTCTCCTCGCTGCTGCATTTACCACCCAAGCTTCACATCCACATAAGAGTGTTGGTACTACTATACTTTCATACATTCCCTTCTTTGCCTCCATACATAACGTTTTTTGACTCCACATATACCTCAACGCACCACTCACCTTTTTTCCCTCATCA